GCCCAGGAGTTGGAGGTTGCTGTGAGCGTGATGCCATGGCACTCTACCCAGGGGGATAGCTTGAGGCTCCGTCTCAAAAAAAAAAAAATATATATATATATATATATATATTAAAGTATCTTTAAAAAATTAAATAATGCAGACCTATTTAGATTTTTTTTAAAAACACAAACATCCTCCTTCATTCCCCTACTCCACCCCAAGTCTTTCTCTTTACACTGAGAAAAGGGTTTGATGAGTGTTCTAGGCATTGTTTCTGTGTATTTGCAAACATACATATGCAACCTCCCCTTTTTTTGCTTAATGGAAAGTGGAAATGATTTTCCCAGGGTCACACTTGTGTGGCAGATATGGAACTAGAATACTGGTCTCAGAAATAAGTCTCTGTGGAGCCTTCTCTGGTGCTCTAGAAAATAAGAAGATGAATGAGACCCTGAAGTGCTGATGGCTAGATGTGAAGGGTATTCTACCCCACCAATGCCTCTGTAAACAATATAACTGTAAAAACACAGTGAGGTGTGTAGGCAACTAGAAAATGATTTTTCATCAATGACTTAGATGAATAAGTCAAATTCCAGTGATAGAAAAGTGTCTTTGGTAAGAACTGTACATGAAGTTGGTGACAAAAATGATAGGCTCAATCCTGGCTCCTGAGGCTAAATAGGGAAATGTTTCACAGCTGGTGACAGATGAGGGAAGATGCAGTCCACCCGCCCAGCAGCCACAGTTTGTAGGAGTCTCAGAGAGGCCCAGCTCCTGTTTGTACACACCATCCACCAAGGCAGCTTCTAAGCAGATGTGGGGAAGAGTTCTGCGGGGAGTCGATCCAGCTGTGCCCCCTTCGAGGTTAGGTGGGAGGAATTTCCTTACAATCGGAATGGGGAAATGAGAAAATACTCCTCCCGGAGGTCTCTGGGAACTCAAGACTCTCGCTGGCCATGTGGACCAGGATGGCAGCTGCCGAGGACAGGATTCCATCCGAGATCCCTACCTGGCAATGCAACCTCCTCGGACCCTGCTTCCTCAGCTAAAAAACGTAGGGGTTTAATGTCATCATTTCTAAGGTCTCCGGTGGAGAACCCTAAAAACCATTTGCCAAACCCACACGATGGGCCTGCCGCTGTACCAGGCGCACAGGAGGCAGGGTGGCGACTCCTGTACGCAGGGAATACCTTTCCCTAGACGCCAGACGTGTGCAGAACTGAGTCCAGGGAGCGAAGAAAAAGAACTGCCACCACACGAGACTGCGCTAGGTGGAAGCTGCAGAGAGGGGATTTCCGTCCCAGTCCTGAGGGACTCCTCACAGGGAGGACGGTTACCGGGCATGCTATGGGAGCTCGCCAACTGTTTGCTCGGCTACCGACTGAACCCGAACGTGCGTGTGCGGGGAGAAGGGCGCACTCACACTGTCCGCTTGGGTCTGAATGGGCCCTGCCGGGCGAGAGGGGGATGCCACAACGCCGCAGGTCATCAGTGGCCCGACCTTGTTGTGAGTCCCCAACACAACCCTACGCCTACCACCACGGGGACCTTGGGCGGGCGCGTTCACTGATTCCCGGCCCCTTGTGCCAGCTGGGGCAAGGTCAGACCGCCCATTCCGGCTATTGGTTCTGGAGAACAAAGGGGCCGCCCCGCGGGCTGCTCCGATAGGGCCGAGCAGGTCATCTGAGCGGCGCAGCCAATGGAGTGGCTTGGCGGCTCGGGGGACCGCCAGGCCCGCCAGCCAATCAGGTGTGCACTCCCGCCCCGCCTGCCCCGGGACTGGCCAGGGCCCCAAGCCCGGTGCCCAAGTCGCCCCCGGGGTGGCAGTTCCCGTTAACCTTAGCCACAAAGTCAAAGGTATTTATTTCCCCGGCCCCCTCCCTCCGAGTCCCTCTGCATTTCGGGCGGGGAGGGGCGGTGCGAGGGATCGCCCAGCGCCCGGCCCCGCTCCTCCCACGCTGCCTCCACCCGGCCGGGGCAGGAGCCGAGAGATGGGGCGGGGGCCTCGGCGGCTCTGAGCCCCAAGCTTTCTCCACCCCTACACAGCCTAGGAGAAAGGGACCAGTCGGCGGGGTCGGGGGCGCAGGTCAGGGCAGCGAGGTCAGCTGGAGGCCAGTGAGAGCGGGGGAAGACGCAGTGGCGAGCGGAGGGTCGCCCGCGCGCGGCCCCTCCTGGGCTGTGCTGTTGTTCTGAGTTCCCCGCCCGTGTCCACCTCCCCGATAGAACAGCTTCTGGGGGGCAGGAACTTCCAGTGTTCGCTGCAGTGTGACACGTAGTAGGTGCTCAATAAATGTGTATTATAAGAGTGGGGATTAGGTTTGGGGCTGGAATGAGAGGAAAGCACCACAGAAGCTGGAATTAGGTGCGCATCTGATGTTCCAGAGACCTCCGTTCCAGGGAAATGGAGACAGCAGCCAGGGTCTCATTTGGGGCTAGGGGGAGGGGGAAAGGGGTGAGGGACTTCTCTCTCTGTAAAAGATATGGAAAATATAAATACCGGGAAGATGTAGAGATGCGGCCTTCTCTAGGCGAGATGGAGCCTCGAGTGGAGCTTGGTCGTGGGGCTAGAATTAGGTGTGGTCAGAGCCCCAGTGGCTGCAGGCATAGTGTCAGTCCAGGCTCCAATGTTAACTGTTCTTTTGAGTCCCCATGTTTCTTTGTAAAATGAAGAGATTAGATGGCATCTGTCTCCTTTCAGCTTTAAGATTATGTGATTCTGTGCTTCTAATCTGTTTTGGAACAAAATTTCTTTAAGTGTTCCTTTATAACATTGTTTTACTAAGGGTTTATAGTGTGTGGATCCTTCACTGGGCGCTGGGCCTATGTTAAGATGTGGGTAGTCTTGTGGAGACTGGCAGAATATTGATGATGATGATTCGATGTAGATGGTGCTGGGTTGCACAGGTTAAAAA